AGACAGATGGGGTACTTGAGGTACATCAGTCTACCATTGCTGATTTACCTCGGGTACAATATATTGATGATGATGCTGATGTTCCAGTGCCGGGTACTCCTGAACCTGAGATTACTCCTACTCATTCTAACTCTGGGGATGAGGTGGAGCAATCTAATCAGGGGTCATCTAGTCAACCTGACACCATTCTTGAGATGCCTAAACGAGTTATCAAGAAGCCTGTTAGATTGATTGAAGAGATGGAGGGAAGAAATTGCTGTGTTGATGCGATGACAGGTTATGCATTGAGTGTAGCTGATGATGTAGAGTCATTTGAACCTGCCACATATAAACAAGCAATTAGTTGTAGTGAGTCTGCGCAATGGCTTGCCGCAATGGGTGAAGAGATGCAGTCCCTTTACAAGAACAGAGTGTGGGAACTGGTAAAGGTACCGGAAGGGAGGAAGCTTGTGGGTTGTAAATGGATTTACAAGAAGAAAGAAGGGTTGTCGGAAACTGAGCAAATACGTTTTAAGGCTAGGCTAGTTGCTAAGGGGTTCAGTCAGGTAGAAGGGGTTGACTTTGTTGAGATATTCTCACCTGTGGTTCGACATACTTCTATCCGTGTGTTATTGTCAATTGTAGCACATTTTGATCTTGAGCTGGAGCAGTTGGATGTTAAAACGGCCTTCCTTCATGGCGATTTGGAGGAGGAGATTCTGATGAAGCAGCCCGAAGGATTCGAAGTTCCTGGAAAGGAACACTATGCCTGCAGATTGCTAAAGTCATTGTATGGACTTAAGCAATCCCCCCGACAGTGGTACAAAAGGTTTGATTCTTTTATGGTTTCACAAGGTTTTGACAGGAATTCATATGATTGCTGTGTGTATCATAGTAAGCTGGATAATGGTTCCATGATTTATCTTTTGTTATATGTTGATGACATGTTGGTTGCCACAAAGAATAAATCTGATATTGCTAGATTAAAGGAGATGCTTAACTCGGAGTTTGACATGAAAGACTTGGGTGCAGCTAGGAAGATTTTGGGTATGGAGATCTACAGGGATCGGGCTAGAGGTAAGCTTTTCTTGACTCAGAAAAGCTACATTGAAAAGATTCTGTCTCGTTTTGGGATGGAAAAATCGAAGCCTATAAGTACGCCAACTACTGTTAGTTGTAAGTTGTCTTTGTCTATGTCACCTCAATCAGAGGAGGAGTTGTCTTATATGTCTAGAGTTCCATATGCAAACGCGGTTGGTTGTTTGATGTATGCTATGGTCTGTACTAGGCCGGATATTGCGCATGCTGTTAGTGTTGTAAGCAGGTTTATGGCTCGACCTGGGAGGGAACACTGGCAAGGGGTGAAAAGGATTTTTCGCTACCTGAGAGGGACAACTGATATTGGTCTTGTGTACGGGAATGGTAGGGAATGCTTGGTCACTGGGTACAGTGATTCTGATTATGCAGCTGATGTGGATACCAGGAGGTCTGTGACTGGTTATGTGTTCACTTTGGGTGGTTCTGTGGTTAGTTGGAAGTCTACATTGCAGTCATCAGTTACGTTGTCAACTACTGAAGCTGAGTATATGGCTTTAACTTCTGCAGCTAAGGAGTCTATTTGGCTCAAAGGCCTAGTAGGTGAACTGGGTATTGCACAGGATTTTGCTACAGTGTATTGTGATAGTCTAAGTGCGATTTGCTTAGCTAAAGATCAAGTACACCATGATCGGACGAAGCACATTGATGTCAGGTATCATTTCTTGCGTACTGACAAGAGGATTAAGGTGAAGAAGATTGGGACTGCTGACAACCCGGCTGATTTCTTCACTAAGCCTGTTCCGTTTAGCAAGTTTAAACATTGCTTAGACTTGCTAAATATTGATTACTACGTGATGTAGTAGGCCCTGAGGGGCGAAGTTGGGGAGCTCCTGGTGTAGGTGTGTTGGCCTTAAGGTGGAGCTTGCCCGGGGCTTGTGATGCAGGTGGAGCATTATGAGTTGTTATACTTGGAGACGAGTATGTGATGGGTCTTGGTTGAAGACTTATCGGGATGTATGGCTTATGCATGAGTCCTGCATCGGGTTTGGCTTGAGATGTTTTTTCACTATGTCTTGATGGGGTCGTTTGCTGACTACGAGTTCTCGTCAAGGTGGAGATTGTTGATAAGTATATTAGGTGACTCGTACTTCGTAGCTTTGTCCGCCCGATCGGGCGGACATTGCCCGGTCTGACCGGGCGGAAGAAGAAGAGGTGCCTGGCAAATTCGTTGAAGAAGCTGCTCTCGCGCCCGACCGGGCGAGCCTTCGCCCGACCGGGCGAGCCTTCGCCCGATCGGGCAGACCTTGCCCGGTCTGACCGGGCGGTGGGGGTTGGATACGTTGAAGCATTCGTATGGAGTTTTCTTCTCGCGCCCGATCGGGCAGACCTTGCCCGGTCTGACCGGGCGGAGAAGGAAAAATACGGAACGCGGATTTTGCGGTTTTAGGTTATCTTATTTTATTATCTTTTTGCCCAAGTATCTTTTAATTAGGGATTAATATAAAACCTCCCTAATATCAATATTAGGGTGAAAAGAGATAGAGTGAAAGCCGTTCTTGAGAAATACAAGAATCATCTTTGTAATCTTTGCAGTTTATAGTGAAATCATTCGATCTCGGTGCCCGTGGACGTAGCTATCACATCGATAGTGAACCACGTAAATTCTTGGTGTTGTTCTTATTGTTTGCATTGAATTTCTTTATTGTTTTCTTGTTTGTTTACGACCTTTGCTTCCGCTGTCGCACAACACCACTGTCGTTGCAATCGACCGTGAACTTGTCATTGGCTAGCCTACCGGCAAGAGGGTAATACAAGGAGAGTGTCTTGGAGAGGGACTCTTTGAGACGAGTGGTTATGTTTTTATTATCTTCATTTGAGGAGCTTTTGTAGAGTAGAAAGTGAGGAACATATGACAAATCGAACAATTGGTCAAGAAGACAAAACTTGTAAGATTTTAGATCAAGGGGTGTTGGAGTTGATGGCTTCATCATTTTGGTTGATAGTGTTTGCACTTGTAATGCAAGTGTTTTCTTGCTAATCAATGGAGTTGATTGCATCTTCATATTTTTAACTTGATAAGAGATAGCTACTCTAATCATCACCGTCTGACTTTATAGATTTAGTAAAGTTTTGATAAGGCCGAGTTAATAAGGGTTACTCAAGTTCAATTTATAACTAAAATAAGATAAAGTAATTACTAAGATAAAGTAATTACTTAGATAAATAGAACACATTCGCTGAACTAATTTAAACCACTCATTCAATTAAATTTAACCTCTACACCTTTAGAAACCTAAAATTCAACTAAATTAAAAGTCACAAATAAAATAAAGGTTAAGAGGCACAAATACCTCAGAGCAGGCAACTAGGTAAGTGCTCTACTTTTTTTTGGCAAATATCTGTATAAGACAAGCTAACACTTAGAGTTGCAACGTGAAAGTAAATATTAATTGGAGCACACATTCGCAAATCAATGCTTTATGGTTTAGATTTTTTTTTTTTTTTTTTTTTTTTAAAAAAAAAAAAAAAAAGAGGATATAGTTGTTTATCAATCTTCAATACTATAAGTTAAACACATTTGGAGTTTTGGACTCTATGACTATATATCTACATACATTCATTGAAAAATAAGGTGCATGCCACGTCGCCAAGCCACTAATTGGTTATTTATTTATTTATTAAAAGGAAAAATTGTAAAGAATAATACTCCATCCGTTTTTAAATACTTGCTTCACTTTTCTTTTTCGGCCGTTTTTAAATAATTGCTCAATTTCCTTATTTATAAAGTTTTTACAATATTTAATTAATTTCTCTCACCTAGTGGACCCACCATAAATCATATTCCATTATTTTCATATTTTCTCTCCTCCAATTTTCTCCACTATTTTTACTTTAAATGTACTCTTGAAAATTGTATAAAATTAGGAATTCATGACAAAAACACGCATAAATCAGTGTTATTAGTGTTTATATCTTGATGATTTCTTAACTTTTTACGATTTTCAAGTGTAAATAATACAACCTTTGGATTATACCTAAATATTACAACCTTCAATGGTGTTAATTTTAAACAAGACATAACCGGTTGGTAACCTATTTTTGCAGGTTACCATGACACGTGTAATTGTTTTATTGTTTTCTTCAATTAAATTAATTAATTATATTATTATTATTGCTTTACTAATAATATTATTATTAAAAAAAAAATAAACATCCACCACCGAGCCACCATGCCCACCACTCACACCGCCACAAAGCCACCTAACTCCTCCACCACACGCATCCCTCCTCGGCGACGATAAGGCCGGCACCTAACTCCTTCACAGACCCATCCTCTCTCTCTCTCTCTCTCAAGTCTTATAATTCCAACTCTCTCTCTCTCTCTCTCTCTCTCAAGTCTTATAATTCCAACCTTTATACCACCACCAGTCAGTCAGTCACCACCCTATTCTTCTCTCCTCTCAATGACCACCTCTACCACCCTTAAATACCGCCGCTGCCACCCTTTTCTTCTCAATAACGACCATCCCCACCATCAATCAATGACCACCGAACCCGCAAATCAACATCAATTAGTAATCCTAATTAAATCAACATCAATTGCAAATGAACATCAGCAGCAACAATCACATATTAATATCAACTAGTCAACAACATTTAATTTTATAATTGCACTTACAGGGTAGTGAAGTAGCAGTAAGTCAGTAACTAAGAGTTTTAGCTTATGAATCAAAAACCAAAGTTTATTTAATTTGAAGTATAATATATAAAAAACATGCAAGATAACCGAAATACAGTATAATATAACCGAGAATCATTGGTGCTTGAGCATGAACCATCCAATTGAAAAAATATAAATTCGATTCCATAGAATTTAAAAATTATGAAACAAATAATTTATCGAATAACACGTTCTAATGTCACAATGAAGAATCTTCTAGAATTTAAAATCATTGTTCCCACACTATATATGGAGAGCTTGTAGCAGTGTGTTTAAGCATCCATTCATACAAGTAAAATTCATTGTTTGAATCCATAAAATAACAAAAGTTTGCCTTAAGATTCATATATACAAGTGTAATGGCTTCTTTACAAACCATTACTAGTAAGAATTGTCACATAGTGATAGTGCCATACCCCGGTCGAGGTCACATAAATCCGATGTTCACCCTATGCAACCAACTCATTTCCTCTTCATCGAGTATAAATTTAGATATTTCATTCACCATTGTACTCACTGAGGAGTGGGTTACATTGATCAACCCGAATGACAAGCCGGAAAATGCTTGTTTTGCCACCATTCCAAATGTCCTCCCCTCGGAACACATTCGAGGGGCTGACAATGAAGGCTTCCTCCATGCTGTGTACACCAAGATGGAAGAGCACGTTGAGCGGATTGTTGATGCCCTTGAAGCTCCTCCAAATGTGATCATCGCGGATACTTTTCTTCCGTGGGTGGTTGGTGTTGGGACTAGAAGGAACATTCCAGTTGCTTCATTTTGGCCTTTGTTGGCATGCTTGTTTCCGGCTCTTCACCACTATCATCTTTTTGTGAGCAACAATCATTATCCACTCGACTCCTTGATAGGTAATCTACCTTCTAGTTTCGAAATTATTAGGTGCATATATTAGAGTCAGTTTGGTGTATTTATGTTAATATTGTATTTATATGAGTTTTAGGCAAGTTGGGTTATATTTTGTAATATCAATACGAAAGCTAAGCCGTTTTCTCTACAATATTCTATCGGTGCAATATGATTCAGTTTTGCAAAATGTACATCATGTTAAATTTGTTCATCATATCATCACTTGTTATTGTTTGTTCACAATAATATGTCGTTTTCTAGTCAACAGGCTAAATTTAATTTTGTTAATTATCATGTTATGTTTCCATTAATCTTTGTGGAATACAAGAGCATGATGAAGTTCATTAATTAGCCATGGTTGGATGATTCGACAACTAATTCTAGTGTGTTAATTAAATCAATACATTAATAATTTTCCTAATTAAGGAGGGCTTTCTAATGATTATTTTTCTTACCTTCTAATTTTTTTTAATTTGTGAACAGGGGAAAGAGGAGATGAACGAGTAGACTATATCCCGGGGATTGGATCGACGCGTTTAGCAGATCTTCCTCTAGCTCTTCACTCGTACAAGAAAAGGATGTTAGACCTTATGCTGGATGCCATGTCTTACATGCCTAAAGCACAATTCATCATCTTGAGAACTCTCGATGAGCTCGAAAGGCCAGCAATCGATGCTATGAAAACCATCTTACCCTCTACCTCCATTTACCCTATAGGTCCCGCCATTATTCTCCCAAAACCCGAAAATAACCAAACAAGTGATCATCCTTGCCTCGACGATGAACCTGATTACATAAAATGGCTAAACTCCCAACCTGAAAAGTCAGTATTATATGTTTCATTAGGAAGTCATCTCTCACCTTCTATGGCACAACTGGAAGAACTGGCACTCGGCTTGTGTGAAAGCCGAGTGCCATTTCTATTCGTAGGCCGAGAAGAAACATCATTTTTGAAGGACATATGTGGTGATCATAAAGATGGGCTCATAGTCCCTTGGTGTGATCAAATGAAAGTGTTATATCATAAATCGATAGGAGGTTTTCTTAACCATGCTGGGTTAAATTCTGTTCTAGAGAGTGCTTTCGCCGGGGTTTCAATGCTTACTTTCCCTTTGTCTACTGATCAACCCATGTATAGCAAGTTAGTGGTCGAGGATTGGAAGATTGGGATGAGGTTAAGGGATAAAATTGAAAAGGATGTTCTGATTAAAAGAGAGAAAGTTAAGGAGCTTGTGATCAAGTTTATGGATTTCGAAAGCGAGGAGGTTAAAGAGATGCACAAGAACTCTAAGGAGTTTAAGCAAGTGGTTTGGGCAGCAATTGCTAAAGATAGCACGGCTGAACACTATGTTGGGGAATTTCTATCAGAAATTTCTACTAAAAATGCTACTAATTAAGCACTAACTTTAATTACTTTCTTTGCTTTTAATTGTTTCTATTTTCTGTTGCACCGTCATCAGCTTATATATCTTTATGTAAGCATTATATAGTGGGTTGTGATTCCTTTGGTTTGTATTTTCATGAAGAGTGTGTATCAGTGTGTTACTGCACATTGGAAGAGCTTTGTTTGTTTTTTAAAAATCGTTAATAAAACATTTGAGTTTGAATGAGCACTAGAAATTAACTGAGGGGATTACTATCTCCTTAACATTATTATAATGTTAATAACATTTTTAAGTATTTCCCCCGCTCTTTTATTGTCGCACCATATAGGTTGGGCACAATTTTTTTGGTAGTAGAAAAAAAAAGAGAAAAGAAAGAGAGAAGAAGGGTACAAAATTAACCATGTGATATATATAAACATTAACTAAAGAATCAAGTGTTAAATAAGGTTATATTGAGTATTTGCGATGTGAAAATTGACATTTGGTTGCTTTAAATGGATATGGTGCAATATTTGTGAAACTGTCTTAAAATGCAAGTGGTGTAATATTTAAAAATTCAAATTGAAGAAGTATGATATTATTGCAAACTCCAATTAAGCCATCTTTTGTAATTTATGTTCAAGCTAGGAAAAATATTGTCATGTGGGGTCTTGTTATATTTGCTTCAATCGCGATTATTATTATTATTATTATTATTATTAAAAAAAACCTACAAAGTCAATTAATTTACAAGAAATTGGTGGGGAGCTGAGATACAATCTGAGCCCCTCTAGCTATAGCGAATCTGATCCATACAGTGAGATTTTGTCCAGCATAATTGCGACGGGATCATTACTCATGATGCATGGAAGGTGTCAAGTAGACGAACCTCGATGAGTATGCGACGGAATTGTTCTTTTATATGACTCGATTTCTCATCGTTATTAACACCGTACCGCATCTTTTCTTGTAATGACAAAAACACAAATTTTATATGGTTCAATAATAATGAGTTGGTTACGTCCATGGACAATTGAGAGGAGAGCATTAATTGACCTTGAGCAAGACCCTCGTCCCTTGCAAGACAGTTAGATATTGAATACTATTCAAGGTCCATACTGATGGAATAATATTCAAATCATATTATTCCATCAGTATGGACATAACCAACTCATATTATTCCATCAGTATGGACCTTGAATACTATGCAAGACAGTTAGATATTAGGTTGATTATTAAGGGACAAAAGGGGGTATTGTTAAGCCATGACCAAAAATTTGTCACAATTAACTCAATTTAGGGATTATTTATTATTGGCAACCAAATCAATTAAGGATACTACTTTCTCAATTTTTTCAATTGCATCATTTGTCTTTTGGCCACCTACTACATATTAATTGCACAGTTTTGTTATTTGGTACTCCGTATACTTTATGACTTTTACTTGTGTTCATACACTAAGTCTCCGTTCACTTTACCTTATTTTTGCTGAATTGAAATTATTTTTACTAAAATAAAATTATATTTTCTGAATTAAATTTTTTTTTTACTGAACTTAAATTAATTTTACCGAACTTAAATTATTTTTTGCTGAACTGAATTATTTTTACTGATTTTTTATTATAATTCTTCTTTAAAATAACTGAATTTTACTGAACTGAAATTAATTTTACTGAACTGAACTTATTTTTACTTAATATAATTTTTTTAAGGTGAAGTGAACAAGGCCTAATTACCATATGTACCTTGATGGCCCTATAAATAATTACAACCATTGTTATCCCCTCTCCTTTTCTTTCATTTGCTTATATCATATGGGCAATTTTGACATGCCACCTAATTTAAATAGTACTGTATGATTTTAAAAAAAAAAAAATCCAGAGGATGTATAACAAATAACAACGGAGTACAAAACACATTTATAGAAATATAAAATGCCTTTATAGTCGCCCTCTTTGTTAATTAGGGCAAGATTTGTATTCAAATTGCTAATCCACAGATGATTAAAATTATAACATACCAGTTATACATTTATTAGGGTACATAATTATAGTATTGATACTAGTCAAGTCCGTCCACTTATTAGTGTAACCAATCAATAACTCACTCTTGACCTCATCAGGCATAGAGGTGAGGGTAGAGGAAGAGGAATTCTTGAGCAACCTTATGTATGTTCTTGAGCTCTTCTTGGCCATATTTTACATCCTCTTCTGTAGGCATGACATCTTTCTTGGGATGGAAGTAGCCTATCAACTTAAAATGACTTCCGGTATTCGAAGGTTCGATCTTCACTTCATACTCAATTTGATCCCATTTGTCCCCAAGAATGTCACCTTCAATTGTTGTGTACTTGATGTAGAAGTTATCACTATCGATTTCATCCACTTTGTTCTTCATATAATTGAACGGATGCCCTGCAAATTTAAATTACCATAAAATTTTAGATGTCATTTGTCTTAGATGGTATATAAAGTCATGCAAATGATACTTTTATAGTTTTATATGATTTTAGATCAGGTTTCGTCTGCATCACAACAAAGATAAAACAATACCTTTTGGAAACTTGATGAGCTTGACACTCCCAACCGTAGTAGAGTCGCCAACAAGGTATTGAATGCTATCAAATGACTTAGGGAGGTACTTCGGTAGGAAGTTGAGATCGTCGAGAAAGTGAGCCGCGAACAACCGGTGTCGTTCGGCTGGGCTAGTGTAGTCAGCAATGGTATGAGTGTAATAGAAATTACCCTCATAATTCATATTATTAGTCCCATATTTATGAAGAATAGGACTATAAGTTGGGCCAAGAACAGATAACTCACAATTAGACACCAAAATGCCACTACTATCAGCACATAACCAATCTCCATCCCTAATTAAAGTTCCACCAAAATGGACCGTAACATTCTTCTCACCACCTCCTTTCTTAGACGACCTCACCGGGACACACCCTAAGGCTCGAATCCCGATATCAATCGAATTGATCTCATCAATGTCTCTTATACACCCATTTACAACAATCCCAGCCCACCCCATGTTATGTGCCATTTGGGCTAGAACACTTCCAACCATCGACCGCCTTAGGCTCCCCCCTGCATCGATGACTAGGACATTCGGCTCGTGCAACTTGTTTGCAAATATTGCTTCCACCACCACTGCATTGTCCTCGAATGACTTCACGGTCACCACACGACCACTGAAGGCTCGACGAAGGCCGTATGGTTGGAAGATTTGGTTAAGGACTCGTAGCTCACCCGTGGCTAGTAGAGGGGAGTTTGCATCGCAAACATCAGTGGTTTCGGTTGGACTTTTTGGCCATTCCAAAGCAGTCACACCATTTCCATTCATTAAGTATCCCATTTTTTTCTTTTTCCAAATACACTCAAATTAAACACTCAAATTGAGTTAATAATGAATATTTGGTTATTTTTTTGAAGACAAAGAACAACTCAATTAAATGCTACTTAATTATGAGTTGTGATGCTAATAAAATGGTCGGGGAGCTCTCGTTTATATAGCGTCATTCGCCAAGATATACCAAAGTATATCATACGCATAATTACTTTATCATTTGATCGTTACTCTCCATCACATATCTACATATGCTTTTTCAATATAATGTTTCTTTATTTTTTAATAATATCGTGTGTTAATAAAGCTATGTACAGTTTGAAGAGTTTACACAAGTATATACTCTACAGGAAATTAAACATTAAACAATTCAAATGAGATCACATGTGAAACTTTTTTTATTTTAAAAATGAATTCTCCGGTTTTGTAGATCTAGCTACAATCTAGATTTTCTCTTTTGCTAACGAAAGATAGAGAATTTGTAACTCTAATTGATGTCTGTGCATGAAAATAGATAATGTCATATCTAGTTGTTAAATAATATCGATACAAAAAGTTAAGCTTATTATTATTAAGTTATTTATTTATTTATCTATTACTTGTTAATAAACTATTAACTCCATTAGCTTTGTTTTATATTTTTTGATACTCAAACTATCCACTTACCTCTCATCATATTAAGTCAATCAAATTGTCAAAATTAAGAGTGTATAGGTTTTATTCATAATTTAAACAAAAAATTGGTCTAGTCCAATAAGATCCATTTAAAGGGGTTTTGAACTGGGCTGAAGACCTAAAATCAATATATCTCAATCTAAAGACCAAACCGATTCTCTTGGGTCCTTTTTCTAGTTTGAGGTTAGTTCGATCTATTCCATCTTTACTGTCTAGGTCGATGTTTAAACACCCTATTTAAGGTATTAACATGTTTTTATTTAGTATATGTTTATTTTCTCTAATCTTTTTATGTAATTGCATACCAATGGATTATATGTTAAGTAAATAAAAATGAAGGAAGAATATATATTTCATTTTCTGTACCCAAACTTAATTTAAATTTCATGTTAAGTATTTGACTCTTTCAGTCCTCCTATTTTACTTTGACGAATATAATTTTAGAGTGTTTTTGTTTCATCATATTTTAACTAATTTAATCTCATTTATTAAAATAATTTTAGATAAATTAATGTAATTTCAAATAAAATAAAGTAAAACAAGTATAGACAATATAAATACGAAAAATTCAAATAAAATTAGCTCATACTAAATAATAAAATAAAAGAATTTAAAATTAAATAAATTAATTAATTCAGATTAAATTATATATAAATTTAAATAGATTAAAATAAAATAAAACTATAATATTTTTGGATAAAATAAGATATACCAAATGAGCCTTTTATTCGCTTGTAATCCATAACGCGGTCGACTTGGCATATTTCCTACTAATAAAAACATTTGTGTAGGAGAAATTGAATTTTAATCGGGCTAGGAAGAAAAGTGAATGATTCACAACAATCTACAAGTAAAGTGCACGTGAATATGTGCTCAAGAATCCAATTTAAAATGTTAAATTTAGTCGTCTCCTCACTATTATTTTTCTCTCTATGGTTCGAGAAAAAAAAAATTGTTTTATAGGATTAAAATACCCTTTTTCTTTAGTTTCTTTATGTTTTTGATATTGAATTCAATAAATCTACATTATTTGAAAGTAGTAAGTATCCCTATAGTGATTTGAGTGTAGTAAGTACCCCTATGGTGAGCTTTGTTTTAGTTTTGTTTTTGTATTTTGAGTTTAGTATGGTACAATTTGTTTCATAGATCGATAAAGATTTGCACGGGATCGAGAAATAGGTTAGTCCTTCGAGTACAATCAGATGAATTAGACGAAAATTTTCATTACGACTACAACAGATCGATAGACCAACTCGTTGAAAAAAGTTGTAAATCACAGCAATATGAAATAGGGTAGGAAGAATTTACGATTTACAACAACGATCGTACCTCTATTGAAAGGATGTTTTTATTTGATTCAATTGTCATATATTTATTAAATTTAAATCTCTTTGTAAATGTCGTATAACGTTTTATTTGATTAAAAAAAAATCTTATATCTTTTTCCAGCTTCTTAAGTGCACATGGAAGAACATAATGAGGTTGAATGTGTTTTTTTTAAAGAAACATTAGGATGTCCTCCCCTCTACAATGAGGTTGGATGTATTCGCCAAAAAAACATAAAAAATGAAGTTGGATTTAGTGTTATCTTATAGCCTTCTAGTCTGTGTATTTGCACCTATTATTTATATGTAAATAATTTAGAGTATGATTTTTGTTTTATAATATGTTTATATTAGAAATGAATGTTTTTAAAGGAGTTAAGGAGATGAAAAAGGCATGAATATTGAATATATTTATAGAAAATATTAAGTTGGGGAAAAAATAAAAAACAACAATAATATATAAATTGAATTAAGTTGTTTTTTTATTTAAAAAAAATGTTTGTAAGGGGATTAACAAATATTTTTTTTGATAAATATATATATATATATATATATATATATATATATATATATATATATATATATATATATATATATATATATATATATATATAATGAGATGGCATGAGACATTGTTTTTTTTTTTTTTTGGTTAAACATGAGACATTGTTAAAAAAAAGGGGGGGGGGGGGGGGGGGGGGGGGGAGGTGTTATGTGGTTTACTGGTTTGTGCATTGTGCTTTTATATGATAAAGATCTTAATCCTTTTTGTCATCACCCGCCCTTTAAGTGAAGATGCTTTCATATCTTCAATAAAGTACAATAGCAAATTATTAAAAAAAAAAAAGAATAAAACAACACTAGCATATTTGGACATCTTCTTATGCTCATTTGAGTGGAATTTTTTTTTAATTTAGGTCTAATAGTAGAATATACTACGTTGGACTTAATTTATCAACTAATGTAAAATTATGCACAGATTTTTCAATAACACCAAGTATTAGTGAATAGTGACTAGTGAAGTGGTGAGGCTTGCATTTCCACACTATTTGTAAGACGCGTATTTTTTGGATATTATTTTTTATTCTAACAAATACTTCTTCTGTGTTTAAATACTTGCTCTACTTTTTATTTTCGGTCGTTTTTAAATACTTGTTCCGTTTTTTAATTTGAAAAGCTTTTACAATATTTAATTCATTTATCTCAACTAGTGGACCCAACATATATCATATTTTTTTGATTTCATATTCTCTCTCCCTAATTATCTAAACTACTTTTGCTTTTTACAATTTTAATTCTTCCAACAACTCCACTACCTCCATATTTTATTACTTTCTTCAATTTCTACTAAAACTCCACACAAGGAGAACTAGAGCAAGTAATTAAAAATGGAGGGAGTATTGATAAAAATAAATTAAGTATTATACTCCATGATAGAGCATAAAACATATTCTTGGGCGTCAGCCAAAAGTTTAAAATGATTGTTGAATCCCAAGATCGGTTTATATAATCTATCACACCCCTTTACATGAGAGTCCTTTGACTTGAAATGTGGATGCGACATAAATCTCCTCATACCTAGTTAGCTCATGCCCCCTCTTTTTACAAAAATTGCAAATTTTATCCGACCAACATTTCACGGTCTCATGACCCACTTTCTTGCATTTATCACACACCGGCACCGAACGATCAGTGCTGCCACGCCCCCTCCCTGCACCAGCCCGTACAGCGAAGCCTAGTGCAGGAGCAGGGTCTTCTTTAACGCGAGAGAAGCCTCACACCTTTTCTTCTTGAGAAACTTGCTGATATGCCCTGTTCAAGGTGGGCAGGGGATCTTGAGAGAGTAAGGCAGAGCGTAAAGGGGCATAATAATCGGAGTACAGCCCGAGCAAGAACTATTGAAGACGATCCCCGTCACGTCTATCGGCATGTTGTCTTCCAACATTACACGTACAATTACCACACTTACAAACAATCAAAGGTTCAAGTCTATCAAGTTCATCCCACAAAACTGATAATTTACTGTAATACATTGCGATAGTCATGGTTTTTGGCTGCTCACAGCGATTGATATCAGATTTAATTTGTTGAATTTTAGGGCCATTAGCTAGACCAAAACGCTCATGTAAATCATCCCACAATTTCTTAGCATGATCATAATGAGAAAGCATTGATTTTACCTCTGGTTCGATAGTATTCATTAGCCAAGAAACCAACATACAATGAATTGTAACCCAATCATCCCTCGTACACAGCGGTTCAAAAGAGATGATACTACCATCAAGAAACCCGAATTTCCGGCGAGAACATAGAGCAATTCGTACGGCATGAGACCAATCATGGAAATTGTCTAATTTTAGACGCTGTGAAGTAATGTAATCCCCCGGCCGATCTTGCGGTCCAAGGTAATAAGGTGAGTTAGACTCAATTTTTGTAGGTGGCGGTGGTGGTGGTTCATCACCCCCGGCCATGGTGTATCACGAAAAGAAAAATTTGTGGAGAAAAAAAAAATAACCTTGCTCCGATACCATGTAGAATTATGTAAACTCATAGCTTAACTTTCATTGATTCGGGGCAAAACATATATACAATGCTAATTCCTAAAATTACCTTAATTAGGTTACTAGAAATTAGGAAACAATATAAAAGATAATATGAAATATTCCCCAAAAATATATCCTACCAAAATATATCCTCAATAGAGTGGTTGAGATTTGAATATGTGACCTTTTGTGTCACGTTGACTTTTAATACCATATGGGGAGTCGGCGTGGCGTAAAGTGAAGATTGAAGGAAGTATAGAAAAATTCCCTTTTGGGGTATTCCGAAGGTGTAACCTAGGCAACGAAAAAAGGGCCCACTAGATCGAAAATTAATCAAGTGAAAAAAAATTCTAGACCCTGACAGGGGAGCCGGCGACCGAAGCCCCGGTCATTTAGACACAAGCTTAAGCCATTGGTTAAGACATAGAAATATGTTTTATACTCTATTATTACACCATACAATTTCAATGAGAAAAAGTAAGTGAAATTTAAAAAGAAAAGAAAAAATTCTAAGATAAAAAATCAAACTCTATACCCCGTAACCCAACACTAGAAGAATTGTGCCACTGCCAATGGCGGCCCTGTAGTATTTCTGATGATAGGCAAGGCATTAACTATACTGCTGGTTTGAGTTAGCCCAAACCGAATTAATTAGCGTCAGTTTTTAGAGAGTAGTTGAATGTTTTTTTTTTTTTTTTTAAAATACCATAAGATATGGAGGAGGGTCTTTACCCTATCACAAGAATGGGAGGATGAGGAACCGGAACCCCTACCCCCGGGCCCCTTCCCCATCACTCGGGGGTTGGGGGGGGGGGGGGAAGGAGACAGAAGGACTAACCATCCCTCCATCTCCTAGATCCTCGTTGAATGATAGTGTATGTTAGGATGTAAATAAATCACAATAGATAGAGTTTCTTCTCTAAGGAGATAGACAACTTATTTCATTAACATTGTTTGGAAATGGAAAGCTGGTTCCCCATTCTTTGTTAAAGATGAGAACTACTTCATCATTTTGTTTTCTTTATTATTTGTTTTCTATCCATTGTAGCTATTGATAATGTATATAAATCGATTTTGGGGTTCAACCATTAGTTTAAATTTTTAGTTGAAATGGTCCATTAACATAGAATCAGAGCCATAATGACAAAAAGGTCACAGGTTCATATTTCATCAATCGTGCACTTTCAAGAGGAATATTTCGCGCAGGGTATGTGTAGGATTCATGTTGTATCCACATTTTAAGCTTAAAGGGCTCTTATGTAAGGAGGATTGATAGAGTATAAAACATATTTCTGAGCCTCAACCATCAGCTTAAACTTTTGGTTTAAATAGTCTTCTAACATGGTATTAAGAGTTAGTGTGACACAAAAGGTCACGGGTTCAAATCTCATCCGATCCACCCCCCACTTTCAAGTGAAATATTTATCGTTGGTTGTGAGGATGTCTATGCTGCATCCACATTTTAAACCCAAAGGCTCTCATGTGAGGGGCATGATTGAATATACATACAATCCAATCTTGGGATTCAATCATCAGATTAAACTTTTGGTTGAGATAACCTATTAATAGCTTTTTCATTTGGGCTATACGATCTCTTCTGTAATAGCTTAGTTTATGCTTGAGTTTGTTGGAGCAAGAAAAAGGGCAAAGGGAATGGTGATGGGGATGATGATGGTGGAGAACGATGGAGATGAGGTTACGGCACATCAGTGAGGGTTTTTGGTGGGCCCCATCCATTATTGAAGGGATCAGAGATAGAGAAGGATATATAGAAGGGAAGCTATACAATCGAAGGAGGAGAGAGAAAAGTCGAGAGTTTTCAGAGTGATAAGTTTTATTATCTCTTAATTCTTTATTTATGCTTGTGTCATAGAGCTATTGGCGAGGCAAGCCTCATAAAATAACTTTTCCTTAAATAAAACAGGCTTTTTTTTTTTTTTTTTTTTTTTTTTTTTTTTTTTTTTTTTTTAAATTTATTGTAAATAGGTTAATTTACCCTAAAAGTATTTAAAGTTATCCTTATATAATAAAAGTCATTATTTATTTAGCTTACATCTTACCCTTAAAAACACTCATATACAGGGTCAGCCCTGAGGGTAGGCCCCGAGTGCGGCGGCCTAGGGCCCACGCTAAAAGGGGCCCCACAAATAAAAAAAATTCAGCTTCTATACTGATTGAAATGTGCTTCGTACTTGTTTAAAAAAAAGGCAACTAGTTTTAAAAAGATAAGAAGATAATTATTGCTTTTTTTTTAGCAATTAATATTAAATTAGTATATTAATTAGTTGTCAATTTAGGTGGAGATTACAATGCAACGCTTCACTTCTTCTTCTATCTACCAGTTTCTATGAGAATTATCTCCAGAATTTTAATCTTCCCAAATACACCGTTTCAAATATATTTCATTACCGAAATTCAAGCCTTTTAATTTTGGCTAATTAATATTATGGCAACGGCTAAAATATTATACAAGATAAATATCAGCGAAAATAATTCATCTATCACCAAATATTCAACTCTCATCTTCTTCTTATTATTGGTTGTTTATGATGAATTTCATGGCATCATTGACAAATTGATCCTTTTATTTGGTTACCGATTAGGCAAAGGTATACAATTCTTCCTTTGTTTGTTTTTTACTCCGTATTTATTAAATTTATCATGTTTCAAACTTCTAATTTCTGTTTTGAATTGTAACAGGTTATCAATCAGTTAAATTGAGTATTTTAGAGTTGTGGAAATTTGAGATTGCTGCCAATTACATATATGCTCACTTCGGATTCTACAATTTTACATGATTTTGCATCAAAAAATGCTAGAAGAAATCGGTTGTTTTGATTTTTTAGGAGGGAGAAATTTATAAAAATATTATGCAAAGTCATGATTGTGTATCGAGAATTACTATTTAAATAATATAAGTTATTTTCATTGTGTTTTTATTTAAATCTATTGCGTATAAAAAAAATTGATTACGTAGGGGCCCTCTTCTTACATTATGCCTAGAGCCCATAAATTTTCCGGAACGGGGCTGCTCATATATAACGTATTAGATTAATTGACCATATTAGTTTTTTATGTCATTTATTCATTAGAAAATACACATAAAAATACAATAAAACTTATTACAAAATAAAATTAAAACCTTAAATAGCTTAAAGTTACTATAAAAATAGAAGGAAATACAAGTTATCACATTGATAAATAATACATGTTTATCAAATGAGAATTATGTTAATATTTGACCTTGATATTTGTTCTTATATAATAAAAAAAACTCAATGTAGTATTTCTATACAACTGTCAAAATACTACTCTTCACGACGTTGTTTGATGGAAGTGAAACTCCCAAAACATCCAATTTGAGGAAGAAGGTAAGACCAACTTCACTAGAGATTTTAATGGGAGAAGGAATGCTGCGCTCACAAACAATGTTGTGACTTCTATCATTTTGCAAATGTATAATGTCTACCAATCAATTACAAAAGAGTTAAAGAATAACTTTTTGCTTAATGGTCTTTTTTGTTTGAAAGGAATTCCCCCACCCCCCCCCAAAAAAAAAATATTAAAAAATTAAAAAAAACGCACAAGATAAATAAAATAAACAAAAAGCGAATATTTGGAAGTAATGGAGTTAACATTATTTAAAAAATAATAATAAATAAATAAATAAATAAATTTTTTATAAAAAAAGTAAAGGAGCTAATATTTATAGTTCGAATTAAGTGATTCGATACCTCCATATACTCCCTACATCACTTATTAGTGATTATATATATGTTACTGAACACATGCATATTTAGTATTTACCATTTATAAATGGTGCATCCAATTCTTGCTTGACTAGCTTTATACTTGTGATTATTACCTCAAACTTTAATTTCAGCTTTGTATTGTCTGTATGGTAGAATTTTCCGAACTCATATTAACAAACGAAATTTATTTTTCATAAGGTCATTTTCGTAAATAAATCAACAACTTTTTCATTATTGTGGGCTGAAAAAGTTATTGATTAATTCACCCGGAAATAAAAATTGTCAAAATGTGTACTGTGGTCCATAATACCCTCCGGGAGTCCAATTGGGTGGGTGGAACCAACCAATTTGCCTTTAGACGGCCAATTTACCGGTTTACAACTTGTACCGATTTCATTAACTCAAGTTTACCACGAACATTTATGAAAACATATAATGATCATATATGGATCCAAATGGCATTATATGACCCTGAGATGTATCCCCTAAAATCTCAATGCTTTTCGACACCGGGCCTCGAAACATTCGAAATTTCTCAAAAAGCATGGATATATTAGCCTTCAATTTTGGAATTTTTTGACTTTTTTTTGCCCGGATATAAAAATTGCCAAAATGTTTATCATGGTCCCAAATATCCTGTGGGAGTCCGATTGGGTGGGTAGAACCATCCAATTTGCCTTTAAACGACTAATTTACCGGTTTACAACTTACACCGATTTCATTTATTCAAGCCTACCACGAAGATTTATGACAACAAATAATGATCATATATGGTTCCAAGCGACATTATATGACCCCAAGATATATTCCCTAGAATTTTAAGACTTTTCGACACCGGGACCCGAAGACTCCAAAAATTCTCAAAAAGCGTTGATATAGCCTACAATTTTTTAATTTTGACTTTTTTCGCCCGGAAAAAAAATTGCCGAAATGTTTACCTTGGTCTCTAAAACCCTCCGGGAGTCCAATTGGGTGGGTGGAACCATCCAATTTGCCTTTAAACGACCATTTTACCGGTTACAACTTGCGCCGATTTTCATTAAATCAAGCATACCAAAAACATTGATGGCAATATATAATGATCATATATGGTTCCAAATGGCATTATATGACCTCGAAAAGTATCTCCTAAAATTTAAAGGCTTTTCGACACCAGGCCCCGTAACCTCCAAAAAAATTCTCAAAAATCGTGGATATGAGCCTTCAATTTTGGATTTTTTTTAATTTTCTTTGCCCGGAAATAAAAGTTGCCGAAATGTTTACCATGGTCCCTAATACCCTCCGGGAGTCCAATTGGGTGGGTGGAACCATCCTATTTGCCTTTAAACAGAATTTAATTTACCGATTTACAACTTGCACCGATTAAATTAACTCAAGCCTACTACAGACATTTATGACAACATATAATGATCATATAAGGTTCCAAACGACATTATATGAACCCTAGATGCATCCCCTTAAATCTCAAAGTTATTCGACACTGGGCCTCGAAACATCCCAACACTACAAGGAAAAGTAGTTTGGGCAACGGAAAAACTCGTCGCCCAAAGACCCAAATTCGTCGCCCAAAGCTTTATGCAACGAAGATGAACTCGTCGTGGGATCGTTGCACAAGGGTCGACGCCCTTTCTGTTTTGGGCGACGAATCACGTTTTCGTTGCACATACCAGAGTTTGGGCGTCGATATATTTCGTTGCCCTTAATCCATTTTGAAATTTTTTGACTTTTTTTCCCTCGGAAATAAAAATTTCCGAAATGTTTACCGTGGTCCATAATACCCTCCGAGAGTCCAATTGGGTGGGTGGAACCAACCAATTTGCCTTTAAACAACCAATTTACCGGTTTACAACTTGCACCGATTTCATTAACTCAAGCCTACCACAAATATTTATGACAACATATAATGATCATTTATGATTCCAAACGACATTATATGAACCCGAAATGTATCCCCTAAAATCTAATTTCTTTTCGACACTAGCCCCGAAACCTTAAAGATTTCTCTAAAAGCATGGAAATTAACCTTTAATTTTGGAATTTTTTACTTTTTTTTGCCTGGAAATAAAAATTGCCAAAATGTTTACCATGGTTCTTAATACCCTCTGGGAGACCAATTGGGTGGGTGAAACCATTCTATTTGCCTTAAAACAACCAATTTACCGGTTTACAACTTGCACCAATTTAATTAACTCAAGCCTACTACGAATATTTATGACAACATATAATGATCATATATGGTTCCAAACGGCATTATGTGACCCCGAGATATATACCCTAGAATTTCAAGACTTTTCGACACCAGTCCACGAATCCTCCAAAATTTCTCAAAAGGTGTGGATATTAGCCTTCAATTTTGAAATTTTTTGACTTTATTTTGTCCAGAAATAAAAACTTCCGAAATGTTAACCATGGTCCCTATAACCTCTGGGAGTCCAATTGATTGGGTAGAACCATCTAGTTTGCCTTTAAATGACCAATTTACTGATTTATAACTTGCACCGATTTCATTAATTCAAGCCTACCATGAACATATATGACAAGATATAATGATCATATATGGTTCCAAACGAGATTATATGACTCCGAGATGTATCCCCTAAAATCTCAAGTCTTTTCGACACCGGGCCCTAAAACCTCCATAATTTCTCAAAAAACGTGGATTTTAGCCTTTAATTTTTGGATTTTTTGACTTTTTTTTTGCCGAAAATTTAAATTGCCGAAATGTTTACCATGCTCCCTAATACCCTTTGGTAGTCCAATTGGGTGGGTGGAACCAATCAATTTGCCTTTAAAAGGCGAATAATTACCGATTTACAACTTGCACCGACTTCAATAATTCAAGCCTAACGCGAACATTTATGACAATATATAATGATCATATATGATTCAAAGGGCATTATATGACCCCAAGATGTATTCACAGATATCTTAAGGCTTTTCGACAACAGGCATTGAAACCTCATAAATTTCTAAAAAAGCTTGGAAATTAGCCTTCAATTTGGGAAATTTTTTACTTTTTTGCGCCTGAAAATAAAAATTGACGAAATATTTACCATGGTACCTAATACCCTCTATTTGCCTTTAATCGACAAATTTGCGTACTAATTTACAACTTTCACCGATTTTATTAACTTAACCCTACCACGAACATTTTAGACAACATATAATAATCATACATAGTTCCAGACGACATTATATGACACCAAGATGTATTCCCAGGAATTGCAAGACTTTTCGACATCGATTCCTGAAACCTTCAAAAATTCGCAAAATGCATGGATATTAAGTTTTCAATTTTGGAATTTTTTTCTCCTTTTTTCGCTCGGAAATTAAAATTGCCAAAATGTTTACCATGGTCCCTAATACCCTCCGAGAGTCCAATTGGTTGGGTGGAACTATCCAATTTGCCATTAAACGACCAATTTACCGGTTTACAACTTGCACCGATTTCATTAAATCAAGCCTACAACAAACATTTATGACAACAAATAATGATCATAAATGGTTCTAAACGACATTATATGAACTCGAGATGTATTCCTTAAAATCTCAAGTCTTTTCGACACCGGGTTCCGAAAACTCCAAAATTTCTCAAAATACGTGGATATTAGCCTTCAATTTTGGAATTTTTTGACTTTTTTCGCCCGTTAATAAAAATTGCCGAAATGTTTAACATGATCCCTAATACCCTCCGGGAGTCCAATTGGCTGGGTGGAACCATCCAATTTGCCATTAAACGACCAATTTACCGGTTTACAACTTGCACCGATTTCATTAACTCAAGCCTATCAAGAACTTTTATGACAACATATAATGATCATATATTGTTCCAAACGACATTATATGACCATGAGATGTCCCCTAAAATCTCAAGGAATTTCAATATCGGGCCTAGAAACATCCAAAATTTCTCGAAAAGCGTGAACATAACCTTAAATTTAGTAATTTTTTGACTTTTTTTTGCCTCTAAATAAAATTTACCGAAATGTTTACCATGGTCCCTAATAAAATCCGGGAGTCCAATTAGGTGGGTGGAACTATCCAATTTGCCTTTAACTAGCGAATTTATCGGTTTAAAACTTGCACTGATTTCATTAACTAAAGCCTACCACAAACATGTATGGAAACATATTATGATCATTTATGGTTTAAAACAGTATTATATGAAACTGAGATGTATCCCCTAAAAC